TATCGCTTATAGAAATTTGTTGTTATGCCATATTCGTCGCAAGGGTTGTCATATTTATTCTCAATCGATTTCAAAATGAGGAGATTCTCAATTAGAGTATTCCTGTTTTCACAGTTTTGATATGAATATTATTTCTGAATAATTTTGTTGCGAATTTAAACAGTTTTTTAATTTTTATAATATTCTAAAATGAAAACTACCAATTTTTAAGAATTGAATTTAGAATTAATTCTAAACTTTAATTTGAGTAAATTTCAAGCTCTACACGAATTGACTCGACTTGACCAAATCAGTAAGTGTAGTTAATTAAATTTAGGAGAGTCGAGTCTAGTGTCGAGTTCAGTTGTGTTAAGCAACTGCGGACAAGCTTGGCTAAATTGAGCAAAATTTAGTCATTTTGCCCAAGTGTGGTCAAGTTTGGACAAGTTAAGTCTTTTTTAATAGGAGGAGATTAAAACCAAATTGGCTAATTTTAGGTTTCATCTTATCTTATTGAAGTTGGTTGAAAATAAATGTGATAATAACATGACAAAGCTTGGCCAAACATGCATAGAATTACCTAAAACTTACTTCAAAACTGAAGATATTGATATATATAATTTTTATCAAAATCCAAAGAATATTTTTTTAGATTAGCAAACCTAAACTAATTACAGACGATATCCAAAAAAAGTTATATGCAATATTTATATACTTATATAAACAAACTAAAAATGTCCAAAATATTAAATTAGTTTAATAATGCATGCGTTAACATTTGTCAGGTACCGAAAGAATACATGGCAGTTCGATATTCCCTCGCCCTCGCCTTTCCTCAAAAGTTACCCTATATAGATCTCTTAGTGAAACTACTGTATGAAAAGTAGTTCTTTGTACTGTGACATTACCTTGTGAAGTATGGAAATAATCGGTAAGCAAGTGTTTTGTACATGTACTAGGATGATCTAAACAGATTGTTGCTCTTTTTTTTTATTAAACCGATTATCACGGTCAGATACATTGGAAATTCTCTGAGCCAGAAATAAAGATTGTTATTATTAAGATCTGCAAAGACAAGTGACATTTTTTTATCCACAGAGGACACAGTTTCCCTTTTGTTCAGACGCATAAATGTACAGAGCGCGTTACACTCAATATCATTATGTTCTATTCCGATAAACAAATGTGTACGCCAAGGACTGTCCTTCGTTTACACGTTTTAAAAATATTTAAATGAAACAGGACATTCTTAAAGTTCGGTAGCACCCAAATTTTGAAATATTACGTATATAATAAATAAATATATAGGTACGTCAGTGGACGATTAGTGTTACAAAACACGCTTGTAAAAAATAAAATACTTCCGTACACGGTCCATTTCTCTCCGGTGATCGTGATTACAGATTTATGTTTCGTTTTTGTTTTAATGTTGGTGTTTAGTGTCTTTATAGGTAAGTAGGTAGACAGACAGTGTTGTGATGTTGTATAATGTTACAAACATTATACAAATATGTTGCTTTAGTTTGAATTTGTTTTTGCGATAGTTCCTGTATCTGTAGGGTACCATCTACTTATGTCACACTTGCTGATCTAGATTGTAGGTATGTGGATTTCCGTATAGACCTTCTCTGTATGGAAACTTATTCGATTTCTATAAGTAGGTAGGTTCAGAAAACGTAACATTCTTGGCTACATATAATAAAACATTACATCAACGTTTTGGTGTACTTAGCAATGCATTCATTTTATATGTTTTTTATTTATTATTGCCCTTTGTATATAAATTACGTGTTTTAACTTTAGTGGATGGACTCTATATTGAATAATCAGTCACACAATTTACAACTTTTATTTAGGGTGTCTCTTTGACATTTTTTGGGAATTTATTTAGTTATATGTGCTTTATTTAGTTATATATTAAAGCTTTAGGCAGAATAATAAGTATTCGTATATATATAATTATAAGACAAAATAATAATTGCTCATACACCAATAAAACTTAATTTTACCTATTTATATAAGAGGATATATTTATTTATGATTGACAGGGACTTTAGTCCACGTTGCTAGCAATATACACTGTCAGGCTTTTTTTATAGCATGAAAGTGGCTATCAAGCATATAGCCCGTCAGATGGTAAACAGTTACTATAACCTATGGAAGCCACACTAGGGATGTCACGTGCGCGTTGTTGATCCTAAAGAAACCTTACACTTTCACGTAGTTTCTCCTAGAAACCATCTGTATATACTTAAAGATTTTAGTATAGTAAATACCTATACTGAATGTAAAAATAATTATCAAAATTGGTTCGAAATTGGCGAAGACAATGACAGTTCTTATTAATTACCACATGTCTTATTGTTGTGTAATGTGTGAATACTGTGACTGCTATATAGTAGTATAAGATTATTTCAAATTAGCTATGACTTGGTCGGGTATTTTGAGTAAGTCAGCTTATTAAAATATTCAGACTGGTGGTGGCGGAGTTGGCCAGGTTATTGAGTTTCCTGAAATATGGCTGAGTGTAATGACGCCAGTCATTGTCGGTCGTACTCGTGAACCGGTACTACCTGTAGGGACTACCTGCTTTGGGCACTGCAAGTGACTTAATTTATAAATTTATTCTAATACTATTTATAAACTAATATCTTAATATTTACATTCTTGTACTACTTAGTAGTTTTATTTATACAAATTCATAATGTACAAAATACAATTTTTCCGAAAAGTAACAGTAGGGTTTCTTGTTCGTTGTTCTTAGTTAAAATTGCATTTGTAATAGGGGGTTAAATTATAAAAAATGGTTATTCAAAAATGCTTAAAATGAAATTTACTTGAATATTAATATTTCTTTCTTTCTTTGGTATACACAAGAAATTTCAGACAAATTAAGAAATTCCACTTTTGGAAGTTGTCTATATATTGAATGAATGAATGAATGTACAAGTATATTATTTGCATTATACAATATACGGAATAAACAAGACAATTAAATATTTTATGTTTTATACTTCTACTGTTCTTTTTTTATCGGAATAGCTTCCACTAAATGGGTCGATATTGTAGTAAACAATCTTGGCTAGTCTTTCCAATGTAATAATTATGTATAAAATAAAAAAAGTCTAGGTTTTTGCATTAATTATATACCTGTTGTTATCTCTAAATAGTATAAAAAGTCCCTGTCAACGTATGTCTGTTTTTACGTTTATTTTTTAAGCACGTTCTACTGTCGTATAAAGATATATTTTCCGAAAGTTTTATATACTTACCTGCAATTTATCCTAATTTATATTCATGCAAAGCTATGGTAAGTTGCTGGTTTAATATAAATTTCGAAAGCAATTTCGAAAAAGACATGGCTAAATGATAATAAACAAAATAAAAACAGATTAAATATTCTATATTGAAATATTGTTCTATTTGATTCATTTTAGACAGATATAAATTGCTTTCCAAACCGCGTTACGACCCAATTTATGACGTAATGTAACTACGTACCCACTTAGATACAATAACGACAAGAAAATAGGCATTTCGTAATTCGCTATACTATATTAACTACAACTGATATAATTAAATGAATTTTGTTATTATATCATTTAAACAATTTATTTAAAGGTAATATGTAGTTTTATTTTTTTTATGTGATAGTATACTACTTACCATTTTTTATGTGATAGGCTGTTATTTTACTGCCATTCCTATATTTATCATAAAATGTAAATGATGTGAATGATGGTGTTACAAATCCGCTTACTTCGAAATCTTTTTAATCACCATAATTCATCATCATTTTAGCTATTAACTGTCCACTGGTGAACATAAGCCTTCCTCATATGTGGAGTTTTGTCAGTAGTTGCCACGCTTGGCCGGCGGGTTGGCAACCGCAATTAGGCTTTTAGAGATGTTTTAAGAGGAATACTGCTGCCTATCCCTCTACAATTAAGATCCCTTAGTCGCCTCTTACAACACCCACAGGAAAGTAAGGGGTGGCCTGTATTATGCCGGAACCAAAAGGCCAATCACTATATTTATTGGAATACAATTTACATGTTTCATGTTTTAATAAAAAATTTTTATACCACGAAGGTGGCAAGTAAGTATACAGTCCATTTGATGGTATTTCTACAATAATTTACAATTCACAAAAATGACAGGTATTTAATTATAAAGGAATGTGTATATAAATAGCAAAATAACTTACATTCTATTCTATGTCCTTGTGATATATTTTGATACTTCATCAGCATTATCATATCAGTCATTAACTGTCCACTGCTAAACATAAGCTTCCGCCTTAGGGGGTTTTGCAAGTAGTTGCCACTCTTGGCAACCTCAGTCAGGTATTTAAAATTAAAAAAAGATATGAGGTACTTAAATCGCCTGTATTTTTTTATGATACGTGTTTTATGTTACGTAATATTTGATTATTTTATTATCGATAAGGCTTACTGTTGGTCTACTTGAGTTGGTCTAACTGTTCAACTCTCCAACCGAAATTTGATAGTTTTTTTGTGTATTTGAGAGAATACAATCAAGTTGGTCTCATTTATTACATTATTTATTATATTAATATGACAAACATCTGAAATAGGTCTATCGAATAATTTGTATTAAGACTATTATTTGTATGACATATAAGATCATAGACTTGGAATAATTTAAATAACAGCATATATAATACTTACTTATGAAAGTGTTAAGTGTACCAATATGCAATGTGATATTGAACCAAACTCAGGCTGTTAATAGCAGCCGGCACGGTTACGCTAATCATGAAGTCTTTTTCGTCTTATCATATACTTTTTCTATAATTGTGACACAGATTTTGGTAATAAAAGGTTACGTGACGTTCTCCGATAAAAAATGAAATTGTGATGGATATTTTTCGTTGGTCATTTATTTTAGAGGTTGGGTAATTCAGCTTATTAAACTTTTTATTATAGACCTCCAACAGAACTTAATCGTGTGTATCGTTTTAATTAACCACGTATAATTATTCTGTTTTATTGTTCCAGATTGTGACTGTAATAATTTCTAGTTTTGCAATAAAAGTACCTGTTGATAATAACGACAAGAATACTACAGAATTATCAACAGATAATGCTAATACAACACAGGAAAATCCCGTTTATATTTCCTCTGATGAAGAAGGCCATTTAGATGGCTATCTTATACCTCCAGATCCACATAAGCCTGCAGAAGTGCTGTCTGATATTGCAACACCAGCGACGTACCTTTTACCTCCATCTGCAGAGAAAGCGACAGACTATTATTATACACCTACAGAACCAGGAGAGCAAAGTGATTGGTACCCAATACCTGCACAATCACAGAGCGCACCTAGTAAATTGTTGGCTCAGAGACCAGAAAGTGGTATGATACCAATTTTTTTAAGTCAAGGTAATGACAGATATGAAAGTTTTCCTGTGAAACAAAGACTACGTGGTGCAAAAGCCCTTATTCGAGAACAAGTCATTGTGCCTGTACCGTCAGATCGATTAGAGCCACCATTAGTAAACGCCCCGAACGAATACACAGTATCGACTCCCTCAGAGATTCTAGAGTTGCCTGCGGAACAGGTAAATCAAGAGTTTGCTGATTATTCACCAGTCAAAGATAAAATGAAACCCATTTATGCGAAAGGTGAAAATATTTTGAGAATTAAACCAGAAAACCCGAAATTAGTTTCGTATCTTGCGCCACCTAAACCAACTATCTTGAAATTTAGAAACCCAACTAAACTATATCCCAAAAAGTATCCTGGGTCATTCAAACCTGTTCCCATACCAATAGTACAATTCGCCGAGGACACTTTGTTAGAAGTCCCCAGAGCTAAACCTGCACAGCCATTTCGACCAGTGCCAATAACGAACGAAGAAGGAATATACGACTACGGAAATCCTGAAGAGAAAAAGAGATTTTTGTACGAACAAGCCGAGCTAAAGCGTCAATTGAAAAACGAGGAAGTGAATAACGATAATGTAAGTATACTGAGCTTTAGCGGCTGTTACTATTTTTTTTTAATAATGTATTTAATTATTAGAAAAGAAAACCTTACGATCTCGTCTCAATTTTTAAATATTTTAATTTATAATATACCTAAGTTTTTGGTATTAATATTGAATTGTATTATATATTTTATCGCCGTCCCGGCATAGAATACGCCACCCCTTCCTATCCTGTGGGTGTCGTAAGAGTCGACTAAAGGAAGGCGAAGGATGGGCAGCAGCGTTCCTTTTAAAATATCTCTAAAAGCCTAACTGAGGTTGCCAAGCCGCTTGCCAAGCAAGGCAACTACGGGAAAACCCCCCAAGGGGAGGCTTATGTTCGGCAGTGGACATTTAAAGGCTGATATGATGATGATGATGATAATGATGATATATTTTATACCCTTACTTTCTTGCTATCATTATAAATGTGAAAATAAGTTTGTTGGTTTGTTATCTTATAGAGCCTTAAAGAGTTACTTAATCTCGATTAAATTTGGTATACATGTACTATTTTTTTATTCAGTGTATTGAATCTCCCATCCGAAAAATGGGCACTAAAAATCAGCGCTATATAGATACATCTCGCTGGAGGTGTGCATATATAGTAAAAGCTGAGGTGGCAAACGAAGTAGCGGGTAAAAGCTAGTATAAATATATTTTAGACAAATACAAAATTGAATAAAAGATTGCGACATTGCCATTATATTTTTTTTTGTTGAAATCATAATATATAAAGAATTATCGTACGAGGTTCATTCAGGACATGATTGAGAGATGATCTAAATTTAAATTAAATTGAATCATGACAAAGTTTATATGAAATCAACATGGTAGTAAATAAACAATTATAATCGAGAACCTCTTTTTTAAGTTGCTTAAAAATAAGAGGTACTATAGGTATACATAGAACAACCTACTGTAGACATAACTGTAATGAGATCATTTGCATTGTTTTCAGGAACAGCAGCCATCTGCGGCAGACACATATGGTGAAACAAGTCCCGTAGAGCCAGAAACTTCTGAAACTCACCACAGATATCCTGGACGTATGTGTGAAAAAAAGCATAGTTTTAATATTGTTAATTTTCTTTCATAAAGATTGACTAAAAACGAAAAAAAATAGAATGGAATTAACACGGGAGTAAACATTAATAATTGCAAAAAGAGTTATTAAAGTTGGTTCAGAATTGACAAAGATATAGGTATACATAATTATATAGCTTTTTTTCATATTTTTAATTATAATTTTACACATATACATATATTACTTAATAACTTAACATAACATAAAACATGTAAGTAGGTACTTACGTTTTTAGGAGTTTTTAGATCAGAACGGTAATAATGTTTCGTTCTATTGTCTTTGTCCCATTGTATTTTCTATAATAGGTAGGTAGGTTTGTCTAGTTACTTCATCAACTATATTATTGAAAACGAGGATATAAGTAAGTGGTTAACTACTTTATTTTAAATGTTCGTACACACGTACACTTACACATGTCGTTATACCTATATATTGTTCTTGATATAGTTTTGATATTTCTTTGGATAACTTGGCACTCTGCTTGCCTGCAATAGGTATAAAAAACTATAATGATACGATATGACAGTTAAAACTAAGAAAAAACATAGTTTTTTAGAATTTTTGTACACAAAAAAATCTTATTTAAAATATAAAAATCTATTATATCTACACATAATAAAATGGCCATTAGCCGAAATCCATTGGCATGATGATTAATATATTATATTTTACATAAATTTATTGTACTTGATAAAAATTGGTAATCGTCGCCTGCAGATATAAGTAGCACCACGGACATCATAAACTATGACACCCATTATTTTACCTTTTGTGTTCTCATTTCCGAGTATCTTTCGTATCTATTACCAGAGGGAGACTTTGTACAAAAATCGTTTGTTTGGGTATCTCTGTCCCATTCGAGTTTTACCCGTAAAACAGTTATCTTTGCATGGCTATGTTTCGGTTTGAAGGGTACTGAGGCATAATACCTTAGTCCTCTGGAATGGCAACACATGGTGGGTATCATGGGTGAAACTTATGTCTACTTATGTATACTTTGTATAATTTGTTATGCTCATGTCTATAGGCGACGGTTACCATTTTCCATCAGGTGGGTCGGCAGCTTCTATGTCTTATAGTCAATAATTAAAATGAAATACAGCCATGCAAGTCAACTACTTGGTGGTGGAAACACAAGTAGGTTTGAGGTGTGTCTCTCTATGACTATGATCTCCTTTCTATGATATCTAATTAATAAAATTGTAATCGAAAGGTAATATAATTTTCAGGAAACGTATACCCTGCACCACTAAGGCAGGCTCCACCGCCGGCTCCACAGAATGACCCCAACGCGCCTCCGGCTTCTGACGATCGAACAGAATTCCGCATGCATGGCATGAAGGGACCGCATAGCTACCAGTTTGGATATGACACGGGGAAAGGGTACGTTTTTGAAACTATTTGAGTGGAATTAGGTATGTTTGTTTGTACAAGTCCTGTAAGAAGGAAGGTGCTTATCATGTACCCATTATACGTATGTATAAATATTACAACCCTATTTTTGGGTTCCATCTTTATAAAGATGGGACAAGTCCTTCTGATATAGAAGTGTAAGTGGAAACTAAATTCTGTATGTAAACTTTCAGCAAGATTTATGTTTTCTTTAATTGTGAGGTGATTACATGAATTAGGAACTATAAATCAAATGCCTCTGGATGGACCTATGAGGTTGTCCGATTCCTATAAATTCATAATTAGATGTAGTGAATTTAAAAAATATATGGAGATTAATTAATAATTTTATATGTACAGATACCTATAACATCAATATTTTCTTTAATCATTTTTATTTAGAGGCGTTCATTCATAAGATTATGTCAGCTCTTATACCCTAACCTTAATTATTTCACATACTAAAATAGAGGGAATCATTGATACAAAAATACAGAAATTAAAGAAACATCAAGAAGATAAAATTACACTTAATGCTACTAGACAGAAGACAGAGCTTATGAAAACAGAAAATAAACACAGAAGCTCAAACTTGCATCTACGTATATTGTACTATGTAGATGCATATTTGAACATATTTTATGATTGATTTTAAACAAAAACAATTTTTGGCAGAGGTGGTATTTATAAATCAGATATATATACCATTGAGATGGCAAACAAGCATCCGTGATGGTAAGTGCTTACTGTAGCCTATAAACATCTGCAATACTAGAGGCGTTACGCGCGCGTTGCCGACCCTGAAGAAACCTCTCTATCTCTTTGCAGACTATGATTCCATAAACGGGACTTAGCATATATTATACTAAAAACCTAAGAATGCGAAGGTTATTTTATGTTCAATTTTAAAGGTTTTATTTATGAGCGGATTATAGTTTCGATATTTTTATCAGACACACATACAAAGGTTTTAAAGTTACAACAACCATCTTCGCGTTAAGACAAATTGAAATTTTGTGTTCATTACAGAAAGAATCGTCAATTCCGTTACGAGGAACGTGACAACGATGGGATTGTGAGGGGCCACTATGGATACATGGATAAACGTGGAAAGCTCCGTGTAGTGAATTACAGAGCTCATCCGGAACACGGCTTCCAGGCTGACGCACCAGTAGAAAAGGAGTGATGGACTTTTTGAGTTTTGTGAATATTTGTAATAAAAGTTCCATTGAGTGTACCTATATGATTATCCTGTCCCAATATCAGGATAACTGTACATAAGTAGATTTATAGGTATTGTAAATAGAGTAATTGTAATTACGTATTACTGTTTTAGTTGAAAAAGATTTTATATTTGACTATATAGACACTTTGAAAACAGTAAACGTTCACTTATCATGAGAAATTGTATATTTGTGCGTATGTCTGTATGTACTATGTACGGATAATGGGCAGTCACGTTACAGTTGTTAGGTTTTATGTGAATATTGATTTATATTTAGTGCTGATAGATTTTAATAATTCCTTTGTTAATAGAAATGGTTCTCATTCAGAATTGTCCCACATTGAGTTAAGATTGATTTTAGTTTTATTAATCCTAATTTTGGACTTCATGACCTCTTAACATAAAATACAGATCTACTTTCTCATTTATCTTATAATGAATTAAACCAAATTTGATAACGAAAGATACAATTATATTAAATATGTACACAAAAAAAAAACAGCATTACAAGAAAGTGAAGAGGCAACAGTATGCCATAATGATAAATACAATTGATTTATAAAATTTACATATCAGTATAAACAATATTCGTTTACAAAATGATAAAGTAAATCATTTACGTTTGTATATTATGACATGTAATTGCCCTAAAATAGTTTCAAGATATTAGATACTAGACACAAAACCCAATCGTATCAATTGTGTAATAAATTTTTCTTTTAATTATTCTGCTAATCATCACAGACATTTTAAAACGAGGTCAGGTGGAATACCTCAGAATTGTCTAGTGGTCGCTGATATCTAAGTGTACGTCTTTTTAAGGAGCTAGACCCCCCTATAAAATTATTTGAAATAAGTCATAGATAACCATGCTTGAATAAATAAATTCATTTATTTTTATTAGACAGCGTTATCGATTCCCAAAGTTAGGCAGAGCTTGTATCATATACTAGCTAAATAATTGATAGAAAACAATTTTTTCGTAAATATTTGCTTGTCATAAGTATACATATACAATTTAAATTGTCCCTGCTTTACTTACCTCTTCCTGTTAAAATACCATAATACCGTATATGTAATACCATATAATTTAAGTGTCATACTAAGTTCAATAAGAATAATTTATAATTTGTATACAAAGGAAAATAAATTACTTGAAAATACCCCTGTCTTTTTAATATATTGTGTATATTTATTAATATAGTATTTGGCAACACCAATTAGGTCTTTTAAGTTAGTTATATCTTATGTAATCTTACAAATATAACAAAATTGTAACTCAATGATGTTTGTACATAAGAGATACCTTAGAAAAAAATATATGAGGCTCATAATGAAATCAATAAAAGCCGAAATATTTTTTTGTATCTATCGGATCGATTTTGACTAATAAATATCTATAGTTGAATTTTTAATATAATATATAGCTTTAAATACTTAATATATAGTATTAAAAGCTATATAACACACAGTTTTTAATACTAAATAGGTACAAGAAAATTAAGTACTTCAGTTAGATTTTGAACTTTTTATTTTATTATATAAAACAATATATATGCATTAACCATAATTATAACCCATATGACTTCCTCTTTTGTCAATATACAATGTATCTGAATAGATTCCTAATAATCTAAATAGATTATTTATACTTAACAATTTCAATACAAATTTTTATAAAAAATATAAGTTTTCCATTTAAATAATAATTTTAAAAGTATTAACTAAATATATTAATGTACATTAATATAAATTTAGTATAATTTTGTAAGATATCATAAAATATTTGGCGATTTCCTCAGATAGGTATCACAGAAAGTATCTAGCTACTCTACCATAAACAGTATCAATAATGTGTATAAGGAAAAATTTACATACAAAAATATATGATTTCATAAAATTTTTGATTAGTTACTATTATTTTGTTGCAAATAATTCTCAACAACATCGAGTAAACTGGAAGCGCCGATACGGAATAATTTAGGAGTAAGCCATTCCACACCCAACTCATTGTGCACCAAAACGAGCCAGTTGACGGCATCCTCAGCAGTTTTGATACCACCAGCTGGTTTAAGTCCCACCTGTAACAAAAATTATGGTTTGTAAAATATTACAGTCATATGTTAAATAGATTCATTATATATATTCCTGTGCAGTAAAATAAAATTATAAATTAGTAGCTTTTACCTTCGACTTCATCTGAGTGACTGGGATATGTTTGCTGACCGGAAAAAAAAGTCGCCACCTATATCCACAATATAAGCAGTACTAAGCTTATATTGTGGATATAGGTGGCGACTTTTTTCCCGGTCAGCAAACATATCCCAGTCACTCAGATGAAGTCGAAGGTAAAAGCTACTAATTTATAATTTTGCATAGTGGTTAGTGCAGAATGGACACTTCCTGTCTCCCCTTCTTTTATATAAACTGGGTATGTGCTATACCCTTGACCATTTCATATAGTATGTGTATACCAAATTGCATAGTGATTAGTTAAGCCATTATGGTGATATACAAACAAACTCACTTTCACATTTATAATATTAGTAAGGCTTATCCTTATTTTATAATGATTATAAACTTAAATTTCTTCAACAGCCAACAATCTACACTATTAATAAAATTTATGGTAAAAAATAGCATGTTCATGCTATTATTTATATCTATTAGAATGTCAAAAAAAGTTAGACTTTTGGGATATATAAATCCTATGTTATTCTAAGAAAGCAGACAGATAAGTTACCTATGTTACAATTTATAAATATCCAAAATTATCTTTAGCTATGACAAATAAAGGAAATAATTACCTTAATACCAGTTAGTTGATAAAAGCGTCGAATAGCTCGGCACATTACGAGGCCAACTGGCAGAGTAGCATTCACAGCTTCTTTTCCTGTAGATGTCTTTATAAAATTGGCTCCAGCAAACATTGACACCATAGAGGCTTTGTATACCTGAGCAGAGGGTATAAAATTTTTCTCTTTGTATAATAAGAACAGTATATTTTGGATGAATAATTTAGCAATTGAAAATAATGCATATAATAACTTTCTTTTATTTTATGTTTATTAGTTTTCAGCTTTCTTATTGGTTATTATCAGATATGATTGTAACACACAATAAATTGTGAGATTGATTTGTTTTTTTTTTTTTTATGTAAAATTCCTCCCATTTTTAACTGTATTCTGAAATATGGTAGTCCTAGGTATTAGCTTTGCTTTTAAAATAGCTTGTTCATTGAAATGTAACTTAAACATCTGAATAAATTTGGTAAAAATGGTAATTAATGCTCCTTTCCACTTAGGGTTTGCTGGTAGTGAACTCTTACAGAGTTAAGCCCGCCTGTTGTACATGTTTAATATATATTACATGTTTGTAATTTTGTAAGTACAATAAACAATAAATAAAAATAAAATAAACCTTCCTTAAACCTAGCGTTGTAACTGTATAAAATTCACACTTACATTTTCATAAGATCCAAGTTCGCCAACTCCAAGAATAACTTTCATATGTGCATTTCCACATGCTGTTTTCATTTGCTGCAGCTCATCAAATAATGATTCCCATTTGCCTGAGAGTATTAGACTTCGATCAACCACTATATCTATTTCTGTAGCTCCATTGAAAACTGCTGCTTTGATTTCATCTAGTCTTGAGTTTATAGGATAGAGGCCAGAAGGAAATCCCGTTGCAACTGTAATGACATTAACATAGTGTTGTTAAGTTAGTGTATGTATTTTTTTTTACGATTTTTAGTATGTGTACTTCATAGATTACTTTTGTAAAAGTGAGAACTTTATATAAAATGAAATATACTGCATAATTCAGTAGCTCTGACTTCTGGATTGCAATAACTTAACATTTATAACTACTTGAAAACAAAATAAGTGCTATTTATGTTTGTAACAACAACTATGTTGATGCAAAATGTATGATAAAGCTTGTTTGAATAAGAATTATATATAATATAGAATATATAGTAATATAATTAATTTTCATAATTATTAGTTGAATCTTAAGAGGCAACAAATTTATAAAATTACTAAAGCATACTAAATATTTAACAATAATATTTTTATTTTACCAGAAGCAATCATGAGATCATTTGTGAGCCCCATTCGTTTGATAGTTGAATAGGCATCTATTACCCGACTAGGATATACACAAACAGCTGCTGTTCTCACAGTGCACTCTTTAAGCTTTAAGTGTTTGCATAAATCTGTGGATAGTGGATTTGCAGCCTGTAATATGAAATAGTTTTTATAAATATATATACATACACTAGCTGTCATGTTGCTAATATTGACTTGAAGATATATTCAGAATTAGTCATAAGTAATGATTTTTATATAAGAATTTTTGTAATGTTATTTAATTTCTTTTATTATAATATAATTGTTCATGACGCATAAATTTGTAAAATCCATCAGTTAAATTAGTGAGTCAATTTCAGGTAATAAAAATGTAACTATTTTTATGTACATTGTAGTAATTATCATGTCCAGATTGGATGGCATGGACCAGACTTACAACAGTGTCATCATTTTTTATTTCTAGAAATAGGTATTTAGGTACCTTGATACACAGTCTTCTAACGTTTGAATTAGTATCATCTCCAGAGAGTGTGGTTAGATCTATGAGTGTCACAGCTTTGATTAACCAAGCTGTATAGTTTTCTTTGCTGTAAACTGGGTTGTTTTGTATTATTGTTTTCACCTGCGAATCTACGCTCTGTTTATTAATGTAAACATTTTTTATCATTGATGGATCTGAAAAAAAAATGCTATAAAGTTTTTTGTTGTTATAACAGGGCATGGATCATTATTAAATATAAGACATACCCAATTTGTTTGGAATTACAAGAACCATGATGATAGTGATTACTTATTCAGTGAATATCGAGACGAAAATACAAAACGATTCAATTAATGTAATCCAGTAATGTTTATTGGTTTTGGTTGTGGTTGATTTGGCTTAATACAAAGATAAGATTCTTGGTGGGTTTATTCATTCTTAGGGAAGATGAACAGTTATCATTCTCAAATTTTAACATTGATAATATTGAGTGATAGTAAAGGTCAAAGTGACATTAAAGCAGTGCTGCCAACTTTGAATTCATGAGTTCGAGTACAGATAAAAAATAATATTCTTTCAATGGTAGCGCCATAAGCATAAAATTTATACTTTAAAAACCTGTACAATGTTAAATAAATAGTTTTACCAATTAATTTTAAAATTTACCAACATATATATGCAAGAATTTTTATAAAATTCTTACATATACCCAATATGCAAGAATTTTATAAAAAAGAACATTTTTGGGCTTTCACTAAACCAGATTTTTTTGTTATGGGTGATAATGGTATGGTAACCTCGTCTGCGGTATTGGTATACAATGGCGGGGTATCAGTGATAAATGACTAATGAGGATGAAAGCAGGTCAGTTAGCCCATCCTGACAAATTCAACTAGAATTAGTCACAATGGTTTTCAGGGGGAACCACGTGGAGGTCGACCTGACAGGGTACATTGCTCGTAATGGGGCTATTTGACCCCATTACTAACAATCCTTTTCCCCCTACTAAACCAGATTTAACCTACCTTTCTGACAGAGGGAATTATTATTAGTAATGCGGATTATTGATAATTTTATTTATGTTTGATATAATGAAGCATGAGCACTTGCGCCAAGCAATAAAAAACACGTATTGAAATACACTTATACTTTTATTATATTTATCTATTACAATTTCCTCAGCCATATATATTACTTGTTACAAAAACCCCCAGAGAGAATCATGCAGCGCCCTCTCGCTTACTCTACCGTAACTTCTCTTCCGTTGTCTATGTGTAATGTTGCAATTGTTAAAATAATAATTGTGGAGGCTGGAGATACCAAACAATTAAACTCAACACTCTTCCTCAGCTTCCACCATTATTATTCCCAACTTACATATCAACTCAATTAAACGACATTTGCCAACAGGTTTAGTAAATATATCTGCCAATTGATATTGAGATCTTATATACTCTACTTTAACTACCCCTTGCTCTACTTTAGATTTAATAAAATTATACTTAATTTCCAAATGTTTTAACTTTCGCTGATCATAAGTCTGAACTGATTTTATAGTACTCTGGTTGTCTTCATATATTTTAAAGTTATCAATTACAATATTTAAATCCTTTAACAATTTTATAATCCAACAGGATTCTACACAAGCTTCACAAAGAGAAATCAATTCAGCTTCAGTAGTGCTTAGGGCAACAACGGATTGTTTTTTAGACTTCCAAATTACAGTATTTCCATATATCTTAAATATATAACCAGTAGTAGATTTTCGATCGACATCTCTACCCCAATCTGCATCAGCAAAACCAAACAAAGGAATATCACAATTATTTTTAAAAATTAAATTATAGTTAATAGTTTGCTTTACATATCTTAGAATTCTTTTTAATGCCTTCCATAACATTTCATTTGGTTTTGACTGAAATCTACTTAAATAATACACAGAATAAGCTAAATCAGGTCTAGAATTAACAGTTACATACATAAGTGAACCAATTAAAGATCTACATTGTTTTTCATATGACATATCAATATTATTATCATCTAACTTAAAATTAGGGTCCATAGGGGTATCTGAACCTTTACACTCATTCATACCATATTTTTTAAGAATAGTTTGTAAGTATTTTGACTGGTTAATAAAAATAGAATCATTTTGTCTTTTAATGGAAATCCCTAAATATGTCAAATCCTTCATCCTAAATTGTGTCATTAAAAATTTCTTTACTTTATTCATCTCTATCATGTCCTTTCCAAAAATCAACAAGTCGTCAACATACAGTAGTATATATAGGTCCTTTTTGATATATAAACAGTAGTCATTCTCACTTCTCACAAACCCATAGTCAGTCATTGCTTTGGTAAATCTGTCATACCAATTTTTTGGTGATTTCTTTAGTCCATACAATGATTTTTCCAATTTTAATACATATTTATCTCTTTCTTGTGTTTCACATCCTTTTGGTAATTTTAAATACACCAGTTCTTCAATTTTTCCATAAAGAAAAGCTCCTTTGACATCCATTTGATTTATTTTATAATTCCTTTTTAATGCTATTGACAATAATATCCTTAATGTTTGCATCTTTACCACCGGAGAGTACACATCTTCTATTTGGTCTTTTTGTTGATATCCTAAAACAACAAGTCTTGCTTTACATAACTCTTTATTTCCTATTTCCTTCTTCGAGAATACCCATTTGGTGTCCAATATTTTCATTCCATCTTTCCTTGGTATTTTATTCCATGTATGACTTTCTTCTAAAACATTTAGCTCTTCCTTAATTGCATTTTTCCATAATTCTCTATCTTTTCTGTTATTTATTTCCTCAAAACTTTTAGGTGCATCTTCTGTCAATCCGCTATATAGTGCAAATAGAACATCATCCTCATTTTCTAAATCCATCTCATAATCCTTTTGCCATTGAGGTTTCTGTATTTTCCTTTTTGCTCTTTCTATTCCTTGACTTTCCCTTTCTTGTCTTTCTTTAGAATTTCCCTGTCCGTGATTGTTATAATTTCTTCTATTCCTCATTGTTAATTCTTCATTTCTATTTTCCTCTTCTATCTGATCATTTATTTCTTCCTTCTGTATTTCCACATCATCAAAAAACTGTTTTTGTCTTTGTGTATTTTCTTCTGTGTGTGTTTCCTTTTTTCCAGGTTGGGACTTCATATTTTCATCATCGCTTGACAACGGTAAGTATACTTCCTTTTTTGTTCTAGCTCTCTCATCAAAGATAACATTTCTTGCACACACCACCTTGTTATTTTCTTCATCATACAGTTTATAACCCGATGTAACATAACCTAACATGATCATTTTCTTTCCAGGATTATCCAACTTTTGTCGCAGTTCTCTGGGTATATAATTATAAGCTATGCTGCCGAATACTCTCATTTTAGTGACATCTGGTTTCCGGCCTTCCCATAATTCGCTTGGAGTTTTATTTTTATTAATGGTTGGACTTCTATTTGTTACATAAGCTGCATACAGCACGGCATCACCCCAAAACTCTTTTCCTAATTTTGAATCTGATAATATAGTTCTAGCTTTATCCAGTAAAGTCCTGTTCATACGTTCAGCGACACCATTCATTTCAGGATTATAGGGGACTGTGTATTCCATTTTAATTCCTTTCACTGTACAAAATTTTCTAAATTGTTCTGACATATATTCACCACCATTGTCAGATCGTAATTTTAATATTTTCCTATTAAAATGATTTGTAACATAGTAATAATATTCTTTGAATTTTTCAAAAACTTCAGATTTATGAGTAATTAAATAAACCATAACAAAATGAGTGAAATCATCTATGAATGTTACAAAATATCTATGGTTGTTACGAGAAGGAGTGTTAAAAGGTCCACATACATCAGTATGAATTAATTCTAATGGCCTACTTGCTCTATGACCAACCTTATTGAAAGGCTGTCTAGTTATTTTACCAATTAAACAATGTTCACATAATGTATTTTGAATTTTATCACATTTTAAATCATTCAAACCATATACTAAATTATTTTTAACCAAAATATTTAAATTATTCACACCTAAATGACCGAAACGCCTGTGCCATAAAGTTACTAATTCACTATTATTGTTAGATGAAGAATTATTACAACTTGACTGATCAATATGCATCTGGACTGTAAACAATGATACATCTTTATTTCCAATCAATAATAAGTTGTTATTTTTGAATACTCTGACTTTGCCATTAGAGAAAGATACCATTAAGCCACAACTTTCCATTTTTGAAACAGATAACAAATTAATTCGCAAATCAGGCACATAATATACATTTTGTAAAGTACACTTATTAAATCTGTTACCAACACGACAAGTTACCGTTATGTTTCCAATACCAACCGCTTGCAACATAATTCCATTCTTGGCTGCTGCAATATTTTTAGGTTCACTTAACTCAATGTAATCTGAAAAATAATTCCTATTATTGATCAAATGGTCTGTACACCCTGAATCTATACAAAACACTATACTGTTTTTATTTGTCTCACAGTTTAAACTTATTTTATTATCACAACTTTCACTACAAAATATGTTAGACTCTTCCTGATGAATATAATGTCCTTGACTTTGATAACCATGATGCTGTCTGGTTGTCCCTCGACCACGTTTATGTCCTTGTCCTTGGAAACGTCCACCTCCATAATTAGATACTTCTCGTCCTCCTCTATAAGCCTTCATGTTGAAGTTTGACCTTTGAACTTGATTATTCTGATACATTTTACAGTTATATTGTTTGTGACCAGGTCGTCCACACTTGAAACAATTGAATGCTGAAGGAAACTGTTCATTGTCCACCTGTTTTTTACCTTTTTTCCTTTTTTCTTCCTCGCCTAGTAGCCTTTCCTTGACGAAATTTATTTTTAACTCGGGCATGGTCTCTAATGTTGTTATTATCACATCATATGATTTGGGCATGGATAGTAATATGTAGTTAATTTTTTCTTCTTCTGTTAAATCTGATCCTGCATTTCGCAATTGAGTAAATATTTCTTCTAGTTGAGTGAGGTGAGTTTGCAATTTCTCCTTTTCATTATATTTTATATCTGACAACTGTCTACGCAAAAACATGCGGCTTCGAGTATTTTTTTTCATAAAATTATCCTCTAAATTCTTTATCATGCAATACGCCGTATCGATGTCTTTTATATATTCGATGTGACTATCTGCGACCGAACTTATAATTATACTTTTCGCTCGTGTTTCTTTTTTCTTATTACCCGGTACACTGGAAAATGCCGGCTCTAATATGGCGTCGACGCAATCATGTTCATCTAGTATCGCTTTCAATCGATAAAACCATGTATTATAATTCTCTCCTTCGAACTGTTTGATATTATAATTATACTCCTTACTTGATGCCATTTTTCTTTATAATTAATTCTGCATGTACATAACTTACTTCGTGGAACACGTGGCGTCCATACCTATCTTGTTTGGCGCTGCGCAGTGGAAGCGTGCTATTGATAATTTTATTTAT